CACAGAGGATGAATGGTCCAGGCAGTGGAATATTATGCAGCCCCGAATGGAAAGACATTAGGAGAAACGCTGTAACTGCAGATCTGGAGACAGGGTCTTAGGGAGCGACCAGGCGCAGAGGACAGGGACTGTCCAGTCCCACCTCTGCAGGGGCTGACGGCAGTGCAGGCTCAGAGCCTGATGCCAATGGCGGGGCCGGGCTGAGGGCTGGGAGGGGCTAGCGCTCCATGGCGAGGAAGGTTTGCACGAGGAAGAGAGATTGGGAATGACGGTGAGGATACGATCACGCAGACACGGTTTGTCTGAGCACTGAGCTGCTATAAACTGAAAACAGAGTCACCAAAGGAAAATCCACATGGTGGTTTTATTTGCATTTCTCCATTACGCGGGGTGACCCACAACTTCCCTTGTGCGCTTCGTTCCCTTCCCTTTTTTATTGCTTGCTTGTTTATTATTATTATTGAGTTTGCTATTTGTATGTATATATTTTAAAATATTTATATGTACAAGAACTGGGGTGCAGGTCAGAGGTGCAGGGGGTGAGAGGATTCATCAGAAACAGAATGGGGAGCAGAACAGGTAGATGGATGAAGTACACTGCTGGGGGGAGCAGCGGGGAGACAGGAGAGGCCTGCCGCGCCATGGGGGTCACCTCCAGGGCGGGGATCGAACTCGCACCAAAGTGGCCGCGGCCAGCGTGCAGTGCTGCACTGTAACCCGCTGCGCCACCAGGGAGGCCCCTGTTTTGCATCTGAACCTCTTCTCAGCAGTACGTGGTGCATGTATCCCACTGTTCACGTTGCCAGTTGTCCCGCTGTGTGGAGGCTTTGAGCCACTTGCTTGATTTTGCTTTTGCTTCCCTTGCTGGGATGGAGGAGTCCCCACGCGCATCTCCAAGGCTGTCACGACAGCCTCCGTCCATGTTTTCCTCGACGGAGCTACGACCTCGGGTCCTCCGCGGGGCGTCTGGTGCGCTTCACATTAATTTTCACGTTTCACCTCCACGTGAGGTCGCCCGGTTTCCCCAGCACTGTCTGTGGGAGACCTCTCGCGCTAGCGAGCTATTGTCTCTCTGACGTAAGCGTCGTCCAGCGAGCGTGGTCTCATTTCTGGACACTCACAGACATTTGTCCCTGAGCCGAAGCTAGAAACCGCATAGAGATTTCTGTAAGGCGAGGCCACCGCAGCCACGTTGCGAGAGCGATAGCGGTAGCAGCTCCGCTGGGCCCTACAATGTTGATGGTGATTGTGCCTGTGGAGAGGGTTTGTGCGGTGTTCCCCACAGGTATGGTGGTAAAAGCTAAAAGTGGGGAATGTAGCCTGGGACAGAGGCCAGGGACTGTTGCAGGGGGCCCCACCCAGGGGCTGGCTGTGAAGACAGCCTCAGGGAAAGGCCAGCAAGGACAGGCTTGAGGAGGGGCTTCCTGGAGAGGAGGGGAGCGACTGGGCAGAAATAGAGGGAGGCGGGGCAAGGTGGCTTGTGCCCTGGCTCCGGGATTCAAGGTTTGAGCTCCAGACTGGAGTCAGGGCAGCATTTTGGGGGCCAGTGATTTGAGCCCCAGACCGGGCTGTTGTGGGAGAAGGCCGCTGCAGACCTCTGAAGGCGGAGGCCATAGGAAGCGGCTTCGCAAGTAGCCGAGTGACCGAGGCGGTTCCTGCCTGGCCGGGCTGCGTGGTTGAGGCCGTTGCTGGGCTCCTTTGCGGCTGTGGCTCCATGCTGAGAGTCGCTCGTCAGTGCTGTGCTGGGGCATCCTGCAGCTCTGGGAGCGTCTCCTGTCTGCCTTCTGTGTCTCCGTGAGTTGGAACCCGGCCTGGAGTCTGGCTGCTGCGGGCCCCAGGTGTCAGAGGCAGGAGGGCGCCATCTTGGACACGGGGCCTGTTTGGGAGAGGAGCGGCCCACCTCAGTGGCGGGAAGGCGCCATCACAACGGTCTTCGTGCAGGACAGTGCCGGACACGACTTTGGGTGCCGTGAACGGCTGTTATCGGCCTCAGTTGCTCTTGTTTTTCCCGCCTGTTAAATAAACCCCTCTGCTGTTTCCTGAGCCTCTGCAGCCTTGCAGCGGTGCGCAGGTGAAGAACCCGGACAGAATTTGGCAAAGCATTTGGGCAGCGAGGCCTTGGCCACTTTGGGGTCCTCCGCCACCCAGTATCAGAGCCAAGTGGTGACGGAGCCCACATCAGGCTAAAGCAGAGAGCGCTGTGGTGGTTCCCAGAGGTGGGAGAAAGTGGGGTGGCTTTGGGGTTAAAGCCCTGCAGGTGGCCAGTCAATGGGCCGTGAGGTGGGAGCACCTAAGAGCCCAGGGCCTCACTGTCCGGCTGCTAAGGAAGGGAGAGCCCGGCGTGGCGCAGTGAGCGCCCAGGCCTTGCTGTGTCGGGTGCCCCTGACGCCTGTGGCGCCCCAGCCCCAAGGCTCATGGCTGCGAGGCATGAAAGGGGCCTTGAGCGGGTCGTGCAGGAGCGGACAGCTCAGCAGCGGCCATCATGGGCTCCCCGGGCTTCTCTCCCCCATCACCTCATCCCCTGCCCCTCCAACTGCTGTCATTTGAAGCAGTTAAGTGAGTTTGACTTGCCTACTCTTTGGACACCCCTTCAGCTATCAGCACTCAGTGCGCCCCCTACCAACGCCCCCCCCCGCCTGTTCCACCCCAGAGACCGCCCTGCTTCTTCCCGCCGTGTCCTGACCCCTCACCCCCTCCTTGCTCCTGAGGAGCCTGGCCTGTCCACCCCGGCGCCGTCAGACGTCACTAGGACTCCCCACCCCCTCCACAGCCACTGCGCCCCACTGCGCCCTCTCTGCCCCATCCTGTGTCCACTGCCCTCTGGCCACCTGCCAGCCACTGGGCAGCCCCGGCCGCCCTCTTCCGCCTGTGTCCGTGCAGGGCCCACCCTCCGAGTCTGGCTATACCCAGCTCAGTACCCCACGTGCCGGGGTTCCGGGTCCCACACGCTCTCGTCAGGCCCTGTCTCCTCTGTGAGCGCCACTGCCCCTCGGCGTCACCACCGCCCTGCGGCCCTGACTCAGGTGGGTGAGTCCCTTGGTGAGCACAGCCTCTCGGGACGCCTCCTGGCGCAGGCCCCAGTCTGCCCTGGTCATTCTGGGGAGCCGCTGTGTGCCCCAGGGCCCAGGGACGCTGAGTGTCCCCAGTGTCTCTGGAGAGCCGCTGAGGACCCTAAAGCTGTTCTTGGCAATTAGCAGCAGGAAAAGTTTTCCCGACTCTTCTGAGCTCCCAGGCCTGTCACTGACCTTGCAGCTCTGGGGGACACGGTAATTACAACTCAGTGTCACACACTATATCTCGGGCTACTCTGTGACTGGCACAAAGATGCAGGCTGAGCCCTGACCTGAGACCAGCGCCTGGGCGGCAGGAAGCCAGTGAGTCGCTCTGTCCTCATGGGGGCGGTCAGGGAGGGGGCCGGGTGGGCGAGAGCACTCAGGCAGGAGGGGACCGGCTTCTGGAGCTGAGCCTGGGCAGGCATCTCCTGAGGTCGCGAAGACAGCAGGCTGCAGGCCCCCACCGCTGAGGGTGACTGGCCCCCTGGTTTGGGCTCCTTAGGCTTCAGGTTCATGCTGACTCCCCTGGCCTCAGATGGCCCCAGGGCCTCACTGTTGAGCCTCCTCAGTCGGGGCCAGGGGGCCAGGGGCGTCTGTGGGCCTCCCTGCAGGTGAGACAGAGCCGGGCGCTCCCCAGGCCCCTCTGTCCAGCAGAGAGTGCATCTGAGCCCAGGAGGGAGACTGTTCCGACTCGGGGTGCGTGAGGGGCTCAGTGGGCAGTGGCTGTGGGTCCCCACTTGGGAGTTTTCCCCGTTGATGTTAGCACAGCGGCACTTAAGGAGAATAAAGCTGACGGAGCCAGACGACACTTGCTGGCGTAAAGTATCTTGCAACAGGTCTGCCGCTTACCTGCGATCGGTCCCGATCAGATGCTCATCGAGCCCGCGGGAGACAAGGCCTGGGCCTGCCCTTCCCTCCCCGTGCGCCGTCCCTTGTTCCGGCTCGTCACCGGCCTTCCTGGCCCCAGCCTTGCGGCTCAGGTGCTCACAGCTCAGGCCGCAGCCCCCTCCGTCTGTCCTGGGGGCTCAGGTGTGTGCTGGCGGCGGGTGCCAAGGCTCTGAGGCAGCTCGGCTGCTCCCCCTCTACGCCCAGGCTCCTGGCAGAGTCAGGACACCCTGGCCCTGTGCTGGGGACCCCGGGGCTCCACAGCTTCAGCAAAGGGAAAAGCTGCCTAATACTAAAATAAGAAATGGAAACTTGGTGTCTACCAGGGTTTAAGTAAAGTGCTGTGGCTCCCAGCGATATTGCTAAAATCCAGTTACATCTGGTTGTGATTAAAAAAAAATTGTTTCTTTATGCACACAGAACTGGGGTACAGGCCAAAGGTGCAGGGGGTGAGAGGATGCACGAGAGACAGGGTGGGGAGCAGAACAGACACATTGATAAAGTTCACTGCCCGGGGTGGGCAGCAGGGAGACAGGAGAGGTCTGCTGCGCCTTGCGGGTCACCTCCGGGGTCGGGGATCAAACTACACTGAGGTGGCTGCGGCCGGCTTGCAGTGCTGCGCTTTAACCTGCCGCGCCACCAGGGAGGGCCTTATCTGGTGGTGATGTACCTGGAACCCCAGTGTGGGCTCAGTGTCCTGTGTTTGTCCCCCCAGCCAGGTCCAGCTCTCCACTCAGCCCCAGCCGGTGAGTGAATCTGCTCAACACTGGGGTCCGTCTGTGCCTGTGCGCCCTCTTCTTCTTGAGGACCGACTGTGCTGCCTCGGGAGTCCATGAAGAAGGACCTGTCCCGCCTGGGGGTGCTGGCTTATGTTCAGCCACTGCAAGTGTCCAAGGACTGAGAGCCCTTAAGTGAACGCGCCAGACTGGGGGCTGTGCTGGGACGGGAGAGGTCAGGGCTGCAGTGGACATGATCGGGGCAGCTGAGCCTTGCGATCCCCTTCCCGGTTCCCGGGGAGGCTCCTCCTGCAGGAAGGTGGGGGTCAGCGGCTGAGCAGACAGGATGGAGCCCCGGGATTTGGTGGTAGGGACTGTCATCTTGTTGCAGAGTGTCTTAGGGATCGTGGGGAATTTCTCTCTCCTTTCCCATCAGATTTTCCTTAATCTTACAGCCTCTAGACTGAGGCTCACGGATTTGGTTATCAGGAACCTGATTGTGGCCAATTTCATGCTCCTGTTCTCTAGAGGAATTGGCTATGTCGTCACATATTTTGGCTGGTGTGAAGAAAGTGATTTTGGGTGCAAGTTTCAATTCTATATAGGAGGAGTGGGCAGGGGCGTGTCCATCAGCACCACCTGCCTCCTGAGTGTGGTCCAGGCCAGCACCGTCAGCCCCCGGGGCTCCACGTGGGCGGGGCTGAGAGACAAAGCTCCCAGGTACACCTGCCCCTCTCTCGCCCTGTGCTGGGTCCTGAGCCTACTGGCTAATGTCCTCTACCCCATGTTCATGTCTAGTATTCATAGTCACAAAAATGACACAAGCAGGAAAATATTTGGAGAGTGTTCTTCTGTGCGTCACGACACAGCCAGAGACTTCTTACATGGCGCTCTGCTGTCCTTCCCCGACGTTGTGTTTTTTGTGACCATGGCCTGGGCCAGCGGCTCCCTGGTCTGCACCCTGTACCGGCACAGGCAGCGCGTCCGGCACCTGCACAGCTCCAGGGCCGCCCCGGCGTCCTCCCCCGAGTCCAGGGCCACCCGCACCATCCTCCTCCTGGTGAGCACCTTCATCTGCCTTAACTCCATTTCCTCCATCATGAACACTGCTTTGTCTGTTATTTATAATCCCGACTTGTTCCTTTTAAACTTCAATACAGTGATCATACTGTGTTTCCCCACCCTCTGTCCCTTTCTGCTCCTGAGCCGGGAGCCCAAGAGGTCTCAGCTGTGCTCTGCCTGTACGGCCAAATCCCCCGCCCTTTGCAAACACGTGCACCGTGTGCAGGTGCGCGGTTGTTTAGTCGCTTCATAACCCACCCAAAACCCCCGTCCTAAGTGTGGTCGTGAGCGACTACGGCTTGGGGACAGGCTGAGCAACCTCTTCAGAGCAAGTGTCTCTGGACCGGTCACTGTCCCCACGCCTGTACGCTGTCCCTAATGCTCCTGTGGGCACCCGGTCTTGCTCCACATTGTTCACCCTGTGTGCGACACCACTTCCTGACTCTGATATTTGGAGACGCCTCACCTGCGCCACCTGAATTGTCACAGTAAACTCTTAAGGAATATCCCGCATGGAGCGTAGGACGCATGGAAGCGGAACCGTGGGCTCAGAGCTGTTCTGAGGGGAGATACCCACAGCGAGTCTGGCTTCGGGAGCCAGGGTTGGGTTTGCACATTCATCTGAGGGAGCGGAGCCCTGGCTTGGATGGCTCTGTGAAGGCGACTCCGGGTGGGAGCGTCCTCTGGCGGAGCTGGCTGAAGCAGGGGCTGGGCCGGGCAGGCCACACGTACATCTCAGCTCACTGGGTGAAGGTGGCATTCAAGACGTGCTTTGCGTGGAGCTGGGGTGATAGGAGCAAGATTTCTCCCGGGTGAGGGTGATGTGAGGAGTTTGCAGAGCGAGACTGGAGGTGCCCACTGTGGTCCCTCGGGGTGGAGACGCCCTGAAACTGGCACCTGGGTGACGCACGTGGCAGGAAAGAGCTGGACCCTCCGTGTTCAAGGCACCAGGTGGGCGTGTCCCCGGTTTCGGGAGGGACGTACATAGTTTGCTCTGATTGGCATCTGGAGCTGATGCAAAATATGAAGCAGTTAACAGTAAGAGAATCAAAACTCTCATTTTGGCTGACTTGTTCGCTCCTATTTGAGCTCCTGTGAAACGCTTCCTTAATGGTCACAAACTAGACCACAAAAAGAAGACAAGCAGAGACACGTTCTCCCAACTGTATTATGCCCCCCCAGATCCGTGAGGTGTCAGATATGGTGTGACATGACCTGTGTGAGCATGTGCAATGTACGCACCCGTACATGTGTCCACCTAGGGCCAGTCAAGTCCTTTATATGTTAGAAATTTATAACGAGAAAAAAAATTCTATTAATGACCATAGTGATATTTCTTAAAGTTTATATTTTCAGATGTGGCTACTGCTACATAACTATTTGTGAAAATAAATGTTTAACACTATTTTCGTGTTTAACCACAGCTCTTCAAAATACCCTAATGTCCACGGTAACATTTACTTGATCTTAAAAGTTGCAATTTGTCCTTCAGCTTAATATAATATTGATAATTTGGGCACAGTAGAATTGCTTTTCTTATTTTATCTATGGTAGCTTCTTTCCCATGGTTTAAATAGTAATTGTGTATTAGAAACGCGCTTTACACGTCTACATTATAATTGCCCCATCTTTGAAATTTGTTTGCTCAGTACTGTTTGATTACTTTGAACTTTCAATCTACTTCTGAGAGCTTAGTCACCGTTAGTCACTGCAGCCACCTTTGCTGTCAGGGTACAAATGATAAAGTGACCATGCAGTCTGCATTATGCTCAGCTCGACACGGCTGGGAGCCATGCAGACGGGAGTAGGAAAGGGAGTAAGATACAGTCAAGCAGGAGGCCGGCAACGTCTACCTGCCGAAGGCTGTCATCGTTCCAGAGAAAGTGGAATCAGGGCAAACAGAACCCAGATGGCCCAAAGGGAGCAGCTGACTGAAGCCCGATGTTACAATGGGCAACAACCAGCCAGGACGAGTCCCCAAGGCAGGAGAAGCCGGCAAAAAAGCCCTTCCTGAGCTCCCAGGACGGGAGACCCAGGTCTCCGTGACAGGTGATCGAGTGGTGGGCCTGGACTCTGCAGAGCGAGTCTCGCCCAGCCTCGCCTCGCCGGAGGTGGCGTGGTGCTGCCCAAGGGGCAAGAAGCCTCCCAGGCCTCCAGCGGCCTGCACCTGTGCCTGCGAGGGCGGGGTGGCTGTTTGTGGGAGGCGAGGCGGGGCCGCGCCCTGTGGGTGCGGGCAGACGCAGGGGTCCAGTCGCAGCCCCGGCTCGGCGGTGGGGTGGGGGGCGGTCCCGGCG